AGGTTTGCAGAACATGTGTGCATAGGAACTGTACAAACCACTATAAATGTAGGAACTATCCTTGTAACCTCAGATCTACAACTTCTTTCTGTTTCAAAAGTCTAGATCCAGATAGTTGGAGCTGTACCATCTTCAGTCACATATGGTGCAACTCTTCATTACAAGATGGTTTACGTAATCCAAAATAATTTCTTAGATTTTGCTATCCCCCAAGGGATAGAAGATGCTCTACTTCTTCAAATGGACACTAAACATGTTCATAGCTACACCTATGTTCATAGACAAATCCCTCGAGCTATAATTGCTAAACTTATTCTCGAGTCTTGGATTACAAGCTATGAACAATCCCATAAATCAACTAACGAATTTTCCCCTATACAATACACCCAGCACTATTTTAGAAAGAAATCTGATAGATCTGTTAAAATCTATTTTAAGAAGGACCAAACTTCAAAACGACCACAGTGCTTTCCAACCCAATTCGTATTCACAGAAAGTATCCCTATTTATGCCTTTGATTCAAATGAAAAACCTATATATGTTAAAACTGATGATTTTGGCCATGATTTTTGGGATGTCTATTCTTGTAATAGTTGTTTGAGCACTGATTTTAATGCTGAGCCTACTTCTTCAAGGAGAAGAAGATCGCGAAAAACTCAACAATGACTTCACAAGGCATTTGAAAATAAGGAGTTGTTTGGAGAACCCTCCATTAAATTTGATTATTTTGTTAAATTTACTTATCCACCCAGAACAAATGGACCATTCATTCAATTGAGATGGGAGGATGATGATGATGACAATTATTGTCAAAACTATAAACAATGTGACTGGAAGGATCATTATAAGGAACAGATGGACCATTAAATGCTAGTGCAGCATCTGCAGCTATGTTTCATCCTCTAACGAATTTCATTCATGTGGAAAATTTTGAGAAGGATCAGTCAGATAGCATGTAGAAAGTAAAAAACCAAATACCAGAAAAGCTGATGGATCAATTGATAAAATTTCTCTAGCAGAAGTAGTACTGAGCTCACAATTCGAAAATGCCATACGACATAATTCATTCCTTAAAAAGGTTAAC